TATATATATATATATATATATATATATATATATATATATATATATATATATATATATATATATATATATATATATATATATATATATATATATATATATATATATATATATATATATATATATATATATATATATATATATATATATATATATATATATATATATATATATATATATATATATATATATATATATATATATATATATATATATATATATATATATATATATATATATATATATATATATATATATATATATATATATATATATATATATATATATATATATATATATATATATATATATATATATATATATATATATATATATATATATATATATATATATATATATATATATATATATATATATATATATATATATATATATATATATAAATTGGGGTGTAACGGTTTGTGTATTCATCCTGAAACATCATGGTATGGGGCTGAATGTTTTTGGCTTACTGGAGTTGAGAAGAGACCACAGGGATCAGCAACTGAGCAGCCGTTCACTACGGTCACATCTATGAGTCTGAAAACCCAAGCTGCTCTGTTGTTCAGAAAAGATCTTTCAGCATTAAAGCTTACTGGATTTATACATAATTACTGTTCTCTGTTGTTAGGAGAGCATTGGGCTCAATTATTGAAACTATAATAATTGAACCGTGAACCGTGACCTAAAATCCAAAGCATTTAACAAACTATGAATTCAGCACACCATTACACCCCTAAATACATACATACATACATACATACATACCTGTTTGTTTGTGTGTGTGTATCATATCATTAGAATATCTTCAAAAAGTTGATTTCACTAATTTTTCTTAAGTGAAACTTGCCTAACGTGCTCAATCCACACACACTGATATATTTCAAGTGTTTATTTCTTTTAATTTTGATGATCGATGAGTAGACTACTAATGAAAACGCCAAATTCAGTATCTCAGAAAATTACAAGATTACTTCTGACCAATTCAAGACAGGATTTTTAAAAATCTCGTCCAACTGAAGTGTGAAGACGGACAGTCTGAGCATGCACAGCACTCAATACCCAGCGTGAGCTCCCTCTGCCTGTATTACTGCAGCAATGCAGCGTGGAGAGTCACTATAAGAGTGTCAACCTTTTCACAATAATCTAATTTTCTGAGATAGTGAATTTGAAGTTTGACATTAAAACAATAAAAATAAAAAGAAATAAACACTTGAAATATATCAGTCTGTGTGGAATAAATGTACACACAGCACCAGCTTTAGTTCTTGAATGGATATGTTTGACCAGCACCTGTATGCATGTGTATGTGTAAGAGCTGCTTGTGAATGAATACCTGACCAATGTTCCTCGGGGTTGAATCTTCCTCTTCAACAAATATCTGGCTCCAGATCCAGCCTCGTCTGACTCTGAGATGGGACCCACGAGACTCTGGTCTGAAAAGCTTCTCCTGCTGCTGTTCTGAGATGATGAACACGGCCGCGGGCCATGCAGGAGTGCAGGAAAGCATGAGAAGCACACGAAGAACACAGCAGTGGACCATTGTGGAGGAGATCCTTCAGTAGGGCCTTCAGTGAACACTAGGACTTGATGTCATGTTGAAGATGCCAAAGGAGGAGATGGACTCAGACAGTACATAAAGAAGAATGCAATGAGAAGGAAATGATAGATCTTCTGTTATGGGAAAGCAAAGTAGAGAGAGAGAGAGATTGTCTGAATGATTTACAGGTCTGAGCAATTCCACAGAAAACACAACTCAGGCTTAAATAAATGACTGCATTCAAACATACTGAAATGTTCAGACGAGGTGTTTAATATATTAAACCACTACAACGAAACAGGAAAGTTTATATATCTTAATATATATTACAGTATTTTTATTAATTTCAATAATTTAGCAAACTTTAACCTTCATCACTGAACTACTGCTTCAACATATTAACACAGTGTCAGCAAACCCAAACCTGCCCAATGATTCAGCTGGAGATCCTCACTGCTGATGATGAACATTATTATTATTCTCTTATATTATTATTTATTATACTCTGTCATGTTGTGTTCTGTTTATATTTAGTTCTCCTTTACTTAGTTTTCATTGGTTAATTATTTTACACACACTTCCTTCATTGGCTCTTCTGTTGAAACAAATTTTAATGATTTTTTAATTAAAGTTCTTATCCCCACTTTTGAAGTGCACTTTAACAGCTGTACATTACTGCACTGAAAACCCCAGTAAGTTAACTCAAATCATTCAAGGAAACCGATTTCAGCAAAGCATTAAAGTTTATTAAACCAAATGTTTTAAGAACTGCAAACTTATATTGAATTATAGAAACTCATTGAGTTGATATGGTCAAACTCTTAATGTATTAGTAAGTTAAAGATTTGAAGTTCAGTTATCAAATCTGTATGAGCTCAGTTAACTTAAACGAATTAAGTCCAAGCACTTTATAGCTACTTAAATGGTTTTAGAAAACTGATTGCTGCAAATGGTTTAAGTTGACTGAACTCAAATGAAAAAAAAAAGTTAGTCCACCATAATGGTTTGCTGCAGTCAGTTTTACTCAAACTATCTGAGTAGTGAAACAGTTCAGCCTTAATTCATTTCTATTATGTGTAAACAAGAAATGACAAGAAAAGGAGGTATATTAGGACCAATTTAATTCAATAAAATATTTATTTCAGTCAAGCATATCAAGTACAAAACCTGTGTTAAAATACAGATCTGAGGATGCAGACAAAATATAATCAATCAGTGTCAGCAAGACCTTCTCAACAATTTCAGGAGGTAAAAAAGCTTCCTGAATAGTGTGTTGACGGGCATAAAGCAGCTGAAAAAGCAGAGTCCCTGCACTGATCTACGATTTTAAAGGCATCCGCACGTCTTCTTCAAGAAGATTTTCAGTCATTTCAGTCATCTAGCGGGTTGACGGGCATCATTCCTCTTCCTCCTTCACAGCAATCATGGCAAGGCCTTCCCTTTACACCTGATCGTCCCTCTAAACACATTGAAAACATCTTTGTTAGTGAGCATCTCTACATATTCAACAACAAAAACTAAATGCAAGTAAACAGTGAGGACATTTTCATTTGTGTAAAGTGTTCCTTTAAGGATCTATGTCATAAAAACCTTTAAAATAAAGCTTTGCTATTAATAAACTCACACTCGAGCTGAAAAAGAGAAGTGGCTCTTTTCTCTTCAGCAGAACAGGTAAATGCCCATAAGCACTTGGAGAGTTTAAACATGTACGAGCAAAATAAATAAATTAATAAATTAATAAAAAACAAAATACAATTAAAAGCAATTAGACAACAGTGCCTACATTAAAGTACATTTAGAAGCCAGGAAATACTGATTTCCTTTTATTTGATAGACATAAGATGAAGGTAAAAACACCTTTAACAAAAACCAGCTGTGCTCGGCATTAGAGAATGCACAAATGTATTCTGCAAGTGTGATCATGATTTCCCCTGAATATTACTGAAATGTTGCTCAGCTACTCTACATGTACACTGAGCTGATCTCAGCTAGAAGGTCAACCTGTTGCTTTAGTGATGTGGTTCTGATCTTACCTCCATGACAAGTCTCCATCAAGTAAAGGTGTGGGGTAACACAGATGTCCTTCTTGTCCCTAAAGACAAAACAGAAAGCTAGTTAGTGCAGGGAGCTGTAAAAGGTTATGAGCAGATTTAGATGTGAAAGCACAAATCCCAGATAAACAGAGCTTCACAGTGGCTTTAACCCTGCAGTCTCTGGGCTTTAGCGGGTTCAGGAATGTGCACAGAGAAATACTTAAAAGCAAAGCAAACATTTCCTAACCTCTATCAAAAATGTATCTTATCACAAATAAATATAAGCAATATTAATGTGAGTATTATCTGTGTTTAAATGCATAACGGAGTTAATAATCTACTCATGCTCTCTGAAACACAACGAACCATTTTGACATCGCGTCTTTAACCGAAGATTCTTCTTTTTCAAGTTCATCCATCATTTCTAGATGTAAAGATTCTGAAGGTGAATCTGCGTCTGGATCTCCAAAGAGCAACATAAAATCCTAAATTCACTAATTAAAGTTTTGTTTTTAGTTCAAAGATCAGTGACTGTGTCAGGGTGAGATGGCAAATCTACTTCATACATACACTATTATATTATACTAGCATCTATTTCTCACCCTTACTTTTAAAGACGCCGTCCTCACTTATAATCTGCAAGAATAAAAAACAAACGAATCAAACTGGAGTGTGTTCAATGTAGAGTTTAATTATTAGCAGTTCTTACAGCTCTACTCACAGGTTTAAGCCTTGCAGATTTGGCAGAACAGTGATCATGCCAACAAAATAAAAGCAGTCATAAATGGGTTTTAAGCATCATCTTAAATAATTTATTCCACATATCAGATGTTTAAACATACTCAAGCCAAAAATATGACCATTATCAAAAGTTTACAGTCCCTGAATGTTAAAGCCACGTGTTGCTGAATTACCCTCAACTGTTTCAGTTTAGTGAGAGTTGATTATGAGTCCTTTGTTTGAGCCAAACAGTTAAACTGCCATTCTTATAAATAAATAAATGAACGTATTAATCCTCCGTCTTACACCTTTACAACAGTAAACATGTACATTATAGATCAATCTTTTCACACAGGGGACGACTGAGAAACTACAACCTCAAGAGGTGAAAACCGTTTAGCCGTGCTCCAAAGGCAACACAGTGCACCTCGCAAGACTTCTTCAGCTGGATGACAGTTGTTCAGATTAATAGTTAATTAGGATTTTAAACTAGTTAAGAAAAAATTACTGAAAAAAGAAGTTGAGCTTAATATATTGGGCTGCCTTCTATAGCAACAGCTAACGTCTTCACCTTTAGTGACAGCTGTGATTTAGCCTTTCAGTTGTCATCAATGTGAACAGATGGATCTTTTGGAGTGGCATCAGTTCTGCCTTAAACAGTCCTGGGTCATTCAGGATTCAACAAACAGCAGGACATTTCAGGGAACACGCAAACTCTTGAAGAGTCATTTTTCATGGATTGTTAATGTGTTCTGTGAAGTGCATGCAAACATCCATTCAGTTTTTTGGACTGTGCCGAAATAATGATTTAAATATAGAACTACTATTACTTTGGACAAATGATTAGGCTTTAGATTATTTTTAAAAGGGTTTTTAAACATAAGAGCAGAGTTGTATGTAATATTTTGGTCAGCAATAGCCCAAATCAAGACATCGTTCACACTTACCAATATGGTTTCATTAATTCATGCTAGTTAACCTGACCTGAGTTCAGTATTTACTAATGCATGAATACAACCCAAGTGTTTGCTTGTTCACAGTTAATGCAAGTTGATATTACTTTATTTTCATTTACAAACAAATAAAGTTTTAATAAAAAAAAAAAATAAATAAATAAATGTGTTTACTATGAACAAACAATGAATACTACATTACCATTCTCCTACAGAACTGTATAGTGTAAAGAGTTACCAGGAAATATTTAATTTGAAGAAAAAGAATGACGTTATTTTCATGAATGAATGTGAACAATCTTAAAGGCACTTACTGTTGACTGTTTGGTGTAGTGGTCAGCAGTGATGAATCTCTGTGATGAGTCCTGTAAGCAGTCAAACAACATGAGCAGGGAGTCATGTCACTGGATGGAAATAAGACAGTAGTGTTATCATGTACGTTATCTGACCGTGTAAAAGACTCATGAAGCAACCATTCTCCATTAAACACCCATTTTGATTCTCATTTGCCTTGCTGACTTTAAGTCCCTTCGGCTTTAATGCGCATCACACAGAAACGCAGAAAACATGTGAACATATCATAATTTAAAGTTTGTCCACACAAATATGAATGTTGTGAAATGAGTCTGCGCACATTGCCCTGCAGGTTTACATTTGCTTTAACATTAGTTTCTGCACAAATATTGGCCAACACAATTGTGCAGGACTCACTGTATAATGTTCAAAACTATGACAAAATACACAACATTAATTTTACACAGCACAGCGCTAAATCATGCCACTGTTAAGACCACTGAGGTTGTGTGTCGTTCTCCTTGGAAATAGCCTATACTGCATATCTTGGCTGACCACAACGTAACATTACAATAACAGATTTAAAAGTAGAATAAATTTACTGAAGTAGTTGGCTGTGCTTACCTGAGAATAATGTTCTGTCAGCTGTGGATTCTCTCCTCTGTCCGACTCTCCAGAACCGCAGCTGAGAAGAATGTGCCGTACGCCACAACGACTACATTTGGGTCTTGAAGAGGAAAATGTGAGGGGTTTTCTGTTCAAATGCCTGAATAATGTGCTATTCACTCCCCAATACTAAGATATGAAGTTTTAGTCATTAGTTTTTACCCACTGACATCTGTTAAATATTATTTTGTTTGGCTGCTTTAGATCAAAACTAAACGAAATTAATTTAAAAGCATAAGAGTCAAGTTAACACAAAACAGAATTCATTCATTCATTCATTCATAACTCATTAAGTTTGAGTTTTTATGAGTCACCGTTTTTTTTTTTTTTTTTTCACCAAGGTAAAGAAACTTTAAAAAATATAATGGATAAACTAATTCAGTTGATTTGGTGATTTTCACTGCTTAGTAAATAATCATTTATATTTATATGATTTATTAGATGAAGTTGTTTGGCTGGTTAATTTTACATACGCTTTATGGTGACGCATGCCTTCCAGATTTGCTTTTTTGGCTCTCTGCGTCCTCGCATTACTTATGTAAAAAGTCCATTTTATTGCTTTTGGTCTGCTAGAAATAAATTAAAATACTGACATGATCAAATTAAGCACATTCACACGTGTCATTTATGTCATTTTCACAGCGTATGTTTTAGTGTTCATGGCTAGCATTGTAAAAGTGGATTTTTGAGACTGCAATGGCGACTGTCAAGCCCCCACCCCAATACTCAGATCTTAATTGGTCATTAGGGGAATCGTGTTGTGATATGTTGTTTACCGTCATGCATCATGGGTAATGACACCCTGTGCTTTTCAAGCGCAACTATGGGACAATCAAATTAAACACCCACAATACATCTGCGAAACTGTTTTTGTCTGAGTAGAAGAGCAGAAATATTGAGTCTATGTACAAATAACTAACCACTAAAGCATATTATAGAGGTTTGAATAACTTTCTATGAATTGCAATCTGTTAAAGAAGTTAGATGTGGAATGTCAGTGTACATGGCAATATGTAAGGATCATATGCACATTATTAATCAAAACATTTTTTATTTGTAAATTAGGGTTAGTTCTACACATACAACAGGTTTTACCAAGTAAAACTCACTCACCTGCATCTCTGAACAGCATTAG